TATTCTAGCTGTGATATAAGCTCTGTAGTTTTCTAGGAGAAAATATGGGTATATACAATAAAGGCATATATTTCGCCCCTCTCAAGAAATGCTTAAGACATTTGAGCCACGATATGAACAATGATTTGCATTGAAACATTTGTGTTCAGCCATTAGTGTGAAAACCTCCTTGCAGCTTTACCTTTAAACTGGTATGCATGATTTAAACTGGTATGCATGATTTAAACTGGTACGCATGATTTAAGAGTTGTGAGACAACTTGTTTTCTCATTCAGAGAAATTAATATTTAAGAAAATAGACAATCACACACGTTTTTTAAAAAAATAAAGGAAGTATGGTAGATTTTTGTCAGAGTCACGTATCTTTATCTGTTGGGCTGTTGGTTTCTGCCAGTACGGTACCATTCGAGCCATAGCTCTACTTCTGGCTTTTTGGGTGGTTCACTGGAGATAAGAATCTCACAGACTCTCCTTCTGGGCTGGCTTAGAACTTTGATCCTCAGCCACTTGAGTATCTAGAATTATAGGCATGAGCCACAGTGCCCATATCTTTTTTGAAAAAGCAAGAAAGATAAATGCAAATGCAAGCTGTTCATGAAGTCAGTGCAGATGGTTGATGACTCACCGACAATTGTTGAATTTTCAGTTCTATTTAAAAATTTTTAATTTTCTTTGACCTTCTAACCAAGAAAAAGTATTTAAAGAAATGCCAAGTCCAAGACTGGCAGAGAATGACAGGGAATTCCAAGAGACAAATTTATGAAAAGCAGACTATTCTGTAAGAAGGAATGGAGATTAGATATCTCCCTAGGAGATTGGAACTTTGATTCTTGACCTTGTATAAGAAGACTCACTTGGGACACAAAGAGTCAATTCACTTTTTAACAGTTTATGGGGTGAAAGTTTTCTTCATAACCTTATTTACTAGTCACAAACTAGAAATTTAAAAGCCACCGCCCATGGAAATATTTTGTTCGAAAAGTGCCTGTATTCACAATATGTATAATAACATATATTTTTTGTTAGGAGAAAATATGCAGATAATAGCTTCTGGTAGTATTATTGTTACTCAGATAGTAAAAACAATAGCTTCATGTAAACATGAATACCATTGGGCAGTGATTTTGGCATTATCTACTAAATGTCTTTAATCTGTTTCTTCCCTTGGATTCCACTTTGAGGGATCTCAAAGTAGGACATAATCCATATTGTTGCGTGCATGTCACCCCACATTTCTACTTGCAGCTTATGAAGAAAAACCCTTACTACAGAGTGAAGGAATATAACATGGTGGTTAAGGCTGGTCAACAGAGTTGGATCCTGGGCTCATAGTCTGAGTGTGCGGTAAAAGATGCTGATTCATAATGCTGAGCAGATTTCTTTAGGTCTGTATCTCTGTCTCCTCATCTATGATGAAGACAATGCTAATATCTCATAATATGTTCACAAGGGTTCAATGAGGGAATAAGTGGAAATCACCTCTAGAGTAGATTTTATAAATGTTAGCTATTATCATGAATAGGTCCATAATAAGGCCAATTATAATAGGAAGAAATGGGAAAGAGCACATTTTTGGGAAGAGATGACTATGATAGAAGATTGGTGGTCTGAGTTCTGGTACCTGCGTATGGGCAGAGTCATTAAATTCCCTCACAATATATGTTCAGTCAAATACAGGAATGAGTTTATGCAGGTGTTTTTTGCGATGTAGATTTGACTATGAAGTATAGAAGATACACTTAGGTCACCTTGTGACCTCACTAAAGGTGGATAACTTAGTGAAAAGTAGAATATTTTTCCACAATCAAATATAAGAATGCATCAGCAGCTAATTGATTATATGTGATGTATCTTACATTATATGTGAATCATATCATATGAATAATTCCCCAAAGATGCCCATGTGTTAATAAACTCAAAATCCTATCCATGTTACCTTATATGGCAGAAGGAAGTCTGCAGACTTTGGCATATAGAAATTATCCTAGGCTATTCAGTTGAATTCAGCGTTGGCACAAGGGGCCTTATAGGAAGGAGGCAGGGCTGTTTGAGGTAGTAGAAGAAAATGAGATGGCAGAAACAGACTTGAAATGATATAAGGAGAGACCACAAGCCAAGGAATTTAGGTAACCTTTAGAAAGTAATGGTGGCAAGGAAATAATTCATTCCTGGAATTCCCTGAGGGAATTAGCCCTGCTGAAACATTGCCTGGATAAGGTCATATGTGTTGTGTTAAGCTACTAGACCTTTGGTAACTTGGTGTAGTCATAAAGGATACCTAACACACAATCTCAGGTGGAAAACAGTGGGTTTTTTTTGGTTTGTTTGTTTTTTAAATTTCTGGACACTCATTAGGCCCTTCTGCTTTCTGAATTACCCCCTTGTCAGCAGATGGTGCAATCAGTGTAGAGTTATTGAATGAATAATGAATAAGATAGTTTATAGCCATTTAAGTCAAGTTTACAAAGAGTTCCTAATTGAGCAGGAAGAGGGCATTAAAAAAAGCCAACATCAATTTGCACTGAGGTGAAATCACAGTGATATAAAATGGACAAACATGAAATTATGCATATGAGTTCTCAAAGAAAACTCACTAAAATATGAAGTTATTATTTCTGCATTCACCAGAATTTGGAATGACTTTTTCTTTTGCATTGCAGCCTTGTCCTAATTTTCTGTAATCAACAGTGTCACTTTCACAGTGAAAAAACACATCAATTTCATTTTAAAAAAGCAGACCGCCGTGCAACATGAAATATAAATGCAATGTAAACAATATGACTGTATTCAATCTCCATATTTGCATGCCTATGATTCTAATCTAATTAGTCACGAAGAAAATTCCAAGCTCTGACATTCTAGTCTGTATAGTCATTGTGAGTCTGGGTTGTTTTGTTTGTTTGTTTTGGAGTACCAACATTCACTAGATTTAACAATAGTACTTATCACCTTTCATAATTCGGCTACAACCCAGCCACTGTGAGATGGGTAACAGAGTAGCAGAGTGTCACAGAGGGAGTGATTTAACATTTTCAAGCAATTGACTCAAGGGATGGGTGAAAAGCATGGAGGAAAGAAGACAAAGAGCCTGCAGAATGATGCTACTGTAGTTACATGTAGAATACTCATACACACACAATTCTAGATTTCTACAACTATGGCAGGTTGATCTTGGATAAGTCATTTTACTCCTCTGAGCCCCAGTCTCTCTGCTACCAGGAGATGGTAATAAATTGTCACTAAGATATCACCCCACTCTATCATTCCATAAATACACTGTATGCAAACACACACCAACACATTCCACACACAGGTGGACTTACCTCCATGCTTTGATCGTTAAAGCAAAGGGACGGATTCCAAAAGGCCAATGTAAAAGATAAAATATGTCTGCTCAGGCTGGGAAGGTGGCTCAGTGGTAGAGTGCTTGCCTTGCATGCACGAGGCCCTGGGTTCAATTCCTCAGCACCACATAAGAAAAAAAAGCCGGAAGTGGCGCTGTGGCTCAAGTGATAGAGTGCTAGCCTTGAGCTGAAGAGCTGAGGGGCAGCGCCCAGGCCCAGAGTTCAGGCCCCACGACCGGGCCCCCCCCCCCAAAAATATGTCTGCTCTTTTTCCAGACTGGTTTTGTTGTTAAAATTTCTGTGAACTAGATTTAGCTAGGTACACAATGTAAATTAGGCAAAGTGCACTATGTAATTTGCTACTAATACCAGCATGATCAGTTAATTCCCAGGACTCACAGCACCAACAGCAACAGCCTGATGTCTGGCTGGCCATTGAGACTTGCAGCTTGTCACTTATCAGCTGTTTGACAAACACATTCACAACCCTGGTGAGATGCTCACTTTCTTCTTTGAAAGTCTTGCCCATGACAAAATTTAACAGAGGCTTTTGGATACCGCAAAGCCTGAGACTATGATGTTAAATGAAAATGCCATTTCTGAAATATATATTAAACAAAATCCCACTGCATGTTTGAAATGCCCTCAGATATTTATTTCTTCCAGGAAGTATCAATGGAGTGTCTATTTTTTTTTTTAAGAAACTTAGGATATTTAATCCAGATTTCAAGGACCTTATGAGTCTTGGAGAGAAGAATAAATCATACACCAACTCACCACTAATGCAAACCAGAAAGGTCAATGTTGGAGAAAGCTATGTGTGTATTATTATGGATAGAGCTGCAGAGCAGAAGAGAGGGAGGAAGGTGTTGGGGCTTGGTTACAGGGATTTTTTTCAGTCTAGGTTTCCCCCAGTTCCAACCAGCTAGATATTTAGCTTGCTCAGGTCCCTATGTCTAGCCTCCTTTCTGGCATTGGTCCCAAATCAATATTCTGTCCATGAAAACACAGCACAGGTAAACATGGTACTGTCTCTGAGTATATGTAAAAGAGTGTGTATTTATATAATACACGTACAATTATACTGTGTGCTGAATGGTAACAATGCCTGCCATCTTATTTTTGTCTCTTATTTTGTAGTGAAAATCACATTCTCCCCTCCCCTGTATATTCTGTGAAGATTTTGAGAACACACCCATTATATCATATCATGTACACAGTCAACCCTCAATTTAGTATGCGTTCAATTGATTTATAAATTCATTTAAATAACAAATTAAATTAAAAATAAATCTAAATTGATTTAAATCATATCCTTCTGTGCCTGGGAAGTGCTGAATTTTCCTCCAAGGAAAAGGAACAGCTGGTTAACACACTTAGCATTATCCGATAAAAAGAAAGAAAAAAAAAGTATGGTTTCCATTTTCTGTTAGCTCTGCATACAGCAGATAGCTTGTTTCTTTCCATGCTTCAAAGATAAGGGGACTGAACTCATCCTATGCAAGTAATCTAGCCATCTGTGCGGGCAAGCGAAGTGTGTGAGACCGACCAGCTCAACACGGCCTAGGTCATGGGCTACATATTGCATGCAGGTCATGTTTGCTCAGAGTCAGTTCAGCCACGAGCTGCCTTTCCCAGGCTGTCCTGGGCACTTACCTCAATGAAGAAGATGCTGGCTGCGGACGTGGGATGGTGGTACATGTACACTGTCACCAGGATGGCTGCGGCTACAATGAGCACCAGGATGAGGACACCAACGATGAGGCCGGCATGGAGGCTTCCGCTTTTCTTCTCAGCTGCGCTGTCATCTGTGGAGGCTGAGAAACATCCCCTGTGTCAGGACCTTCATATGCAAACTTTTATGTTTGAATTCTCTCATGCAGGGAGATATATGCTTCTAATATAGAAACCATGAATTTTTTTTTGCCTTTTGTTTTGTATTTCCCTTTTGACTCTTGCTAGCCATATGATCAATGGGAGAATTTATTGGGACAATGAAAACTCCATACTATAAGTTAGTAAAAAAAATAATAAATGCACATTTTTGTTTGTGCCTAGACCAGGGTTTGAACTCGGGGCCTCGGCATTGTCCCATAGTTTTTTCACTCAAGGTTAGCATTCTACCATATTAGCCATACTTCCACTTTCAGGTTTTTGATGAAGTAGAGATAAGGATCTCCTGGAATTTTCTTTCCAGTCTGGCTTTCAACCAGATCCCCAGATCTCAGCCTCTGAGATAGCTACAAAATTACAAGGATGAGCTACCAGCACCCGGATACAAGCTGTGTTTTAATTTCTGGTTCAAGAAACAAAGTCAGTAGTTTACATTCTACAAATACCTTGAAAATAATCTCAAACATTGTTGTACTCTACAATAACTTCAACTTTGATTTTCCATGTTTTTCTTTTTGTTCCTAGACTGGGACTTAACTCAGTACTGGGATTTAACTCAGTACTGGGATTTAACTCAGTACCTCAGGCTTTGTTCATTGACTGGCACTCTATCATATCAACTGATTCTTGCTTCCAATCCCATAATTGTTTTTCTTTATTGGATTGACACAAAATTTGAAACTTCCTTTCTCATTTTCCTGGGAAAAGTTTAAATGTGATAGGTGATAACAGACATTACTCAGAAAGTGTGCATAAGCTCAGTGCAAGACTTTTGAAATCTTTCCCACAGAATTGTTCTTTAAAAGTGTAGCAGAAGGAAGAACATCTTTACAAGAAAATACAATTTAAAAAATAAAATTATAAAAACAGAATACGAGATACTCTGCAGGTTACTAAATATACCAAAGTAAATATATTTATTCCATTTTGTTATTTTTGAGAATTGACAATGCTTTAAAATAAAAATTTAAATACAAAAAAAGCATAGCAGAGACCAGAAGGTTTCTGTTCTTTATTGCTATTTTTGTTTTCTTTTCCTTTTGTCATGTTTGTTAGTTTATCCATCTCTGGGAGGGCAATGGAGGGCACAGAAATGGAGGGACAGAGGGTGAACAAATGCAGCAGTCATACTCACTAGACACTATGTTGAAAATGAACTATACAACTTGTGGGCAGGGATGAGAAGGGGAAAACTGGAAAGAATCAAGGGAAGGGATGACACTATCCAAAAAGAAATGTACTCATGTACTTATGACCCTCTGTACATCACCTTTACAATTACAATTTTGTGTGCGCACGTGTGTGCGCGCGCACACACATACACACACACACACAAGCAATGTAAGTAAAAAGAAAAAGTATAGTAGGCAGGAGCTCAATGACCCTCAGATTGTTTTATCTCCATCTACAGGGAGAATTACAACATATAAAAATATTCCACTGTGCCACGGCTGGCCAGCTATCTTTCTCCAACTTGTACTGAGATGTTTGCTCCTCTAACATACATTCTCAGATTTAGGAAAAGGGGAGATTTAATTTCTAAAACTAGCAACTATTGAACTCCAAAGCAACCAACCAAATAAAACCCATCTCTAAAGTTTTTTCTTATTATAAGATTCTGTAATCTTTGATGATTGCCCAGGCACTAAAAAATCTTAAATTATGTGTAGCAGGTAACTGTATCTTAGCGTATCATCAGATTGGTATTTTGGAATCGCTGGCCAATTCCTTAAGATACACCAAAGTTCCACAACAGTGCTCCTGAGCTTATTAACAATTCACCTCTTTGTTATTCCTTGTTATTTTTCTCCTTTGCCTTCAGGGTTTAACGTTTTATGTCCATTTAACCTTATTTGCTAAATAATTTACTTAAGTTTTTGTTAAAAAAAAAACTATCCTAGTGAGTGGTCAGATAAAGCAAAACAAACCATGATTCCCCAGATTTGGTTTTGTTTTGGTTTTTGGTGGGCTTGAACTATTTTTTTATTTACTTGTTTGTTTGTTTGTTTTTGTTATTTTATTCAGGGCCTGGGTGCTATATCTGGGCTTTTTTTTGGGGGGGGGGCTAGCACTTACCACTTGAGCCACACATTTACTTCTGGCTTTTTGATGGTGAATTGGAGATAAGAGTCTGATGACTGTGCCTAGGCTGGCTTCAAACTGAGATCCTCAGATCTCAGCCTGCTGAGTAGCTAGAATTACAGGTGTGAGCCACCAGTGCTTGGCTGATTTCCCATTTCTTTATACTTATCCTTTATACCTATACCTATACCTATATACCTATATCTAAATCCTTTATACCTATACCTATCCTTTAGATGGCTGTTGTTAAACCTAATTTTTGAAACCCTGAAGCTTTCCCATTCATAATAGAACCTCAATAATGAAAGAATATTAAATTTAAAGAGTAGTTCACAATATAAAAATTGACTTATAATGTGTCAGGCTTATGTGTGTTGCTTTGTAAATATCAAGTCAGCAGCCCTAAAAGGTAGACCTTATTTTCATTCCCTTTACTGTATAGAGTAACAGAAGCATAGGGAAATTCTAAACTGTGCTAAGATTATAAGGGCATTAAGTTAGATCTCACTGGGCTCAGACACAGGGTGGCCTCAGCATCTAAACTCTGAACCTCTGATCAATGTATCTCCAATTAACACTGCGAACTTTGTACTGCTGTTTCCGCTTCTTCCATGTCTTGAGTTCTGGCAGAGAATTCCAAAAGGAAACTGATACTTTCTAGTGAAGAAAAATTCATTTAAAAGGCAGCTAAAGAATTAGCTTGGTGTCCCAAGAGGGCAGAGGCTGAGTTCTTGTCATATCTTCAGTACTAGAGCTTATTCAAATGGGTTACAGCTATTGGAATGACCAGTTCTCTATAAACATTAAATGAGGTTATAATAAATGACCTCATTTGTTTTGTCTTCAGTTACTTTTTGCCTCTTCAATATGATCAACAGCAATTAATTACTCAATAGGGTTCTTCAGAGAACTCAACAGTTAATACACACAGACTTCTCAGGACACTGTTTGGCATTTAATAAACACTTAACTAATGCTAATATATTATTCTTATATCATTATTATATTTTTATAAGAATCAGATTGAGGCAAATCACAGTGTCAGATTCATGACGCCATATAAAACTATGTTTTTGCCCTTAATGTATTTTGATTTTAAAACTCTGACATCATTACTAAGTGTGTTGTGTGTTTACACCATATTGGTTTGCGTGTGTGTGTGTGTGTGTGTGTGTGTGTGTGTGTGTGTGTGTGTGTGTGTGTGCTTAGCTTTATGAATATGACATTCATATTTGGAGGAAAAAGATTAATTTAAAATGTTGTTTTGGAGAAAAGTGTAATAAAAATATCTACATGAGTCAAAAGGAAACTTTGAATGTTGCTTTGGATACATGTATAATTCCATTCATCCCTTCTACCAGCTCTTCCTCTGGTCCTACATCCTCACCATCTCTTCTCCATCTTCATCATTCTCCATCTCTCTTTATTCACTCTTGCTCTCTTTATCTATTTCTCATCATTGGTTTTCCTCCTTTTATTGGTCAGTTTATCCACTGACCAAAATCCATCCATCCATCCATCCATCCATCCATCCATCCATCCATCCATCCATCCATCCATCTATCCATCCATCCATCCATCCATCCATCCATCCTTCCAGAGTACAATGAACAGAGGTAGTCAGCCTCACCTAATTCCTGTATTTTGTCATAAATATTTACTTCCACTATTATTACTTATTATTACTCCCACTATTATTACTCCCACTTATTATCCCACTATTATTACTTATTACTTATAATGTTTTACTTATTTTATTTCCCCTTAAAAACTTTTCTGTTCATCAATGTTTTAGATGTTAAGACTTCAGGTCATGTTTAATGAAAATTTTACAGAGTCTAGTTGGTTGCTAACCAATTAAAATTTCTTGTATGATGATAACTTTAGTAAAACAAAAATGTTGTGGATTCACAAATACTACTAACCAGTAGACAAATACTCAGATAGCTGTGTTTTACATGACTTTATGATGAGTTGTAACTTGAACAAACCATTTCTGGAGAGATATTAACAAAATGAATCCTAAAACAGTATCAAGGTTGTTAATGATTATTTAAAAATATCCCAAGTGATCATTTAAATGATGTGGCCAGAACTGCACACATCATTTTGGAGAACAAATTTCTCTATCTCTGTATTACTTGACCTTTTCTTTTTTTGCCACTGCAATAATTCTAAATTAGTGATTTTTTTTTTGTACAGCACAAGCACTTCACCTCTAGCTGCTTTCTAAGGATGTTAGAAATCCAGAAATCCAGGAAACAGGAATCATGTTGTTATATTGAAAGTTGTTCAATCAGAAGGTATAATAAGCATGGTCTTGATGAGCTTTAATTTCAACTTCTTTCACCATTTGATTTCCAGATTAATATCACTCACCAATTAAATGCAGTACTGTTTGCATATTTATAGGTTTGCATGGACAACATGCAAGGGATTTGGGTGCTAAAAATTATGAGCATGACAAACACAGAATTGAAATCTTAAAAAAATATAAGAAAAATTAGTAATTTCAGTAATTACAGTTCTGTCCATTTACCTAAAGGGCAGAGAGTGCAAATCAATTGATCTTACTCCCTCAGAAAATACATTAAATCATGATATCAATTTTGGAAACAGTCAGTCCTGCAGCTTGACTGAGTGTTCCTTCCAATTGGTAGATGAAAGTGGATCCAAGAAAACTCTGAGGAGTGAGGGTAATAATCAGATCTGGTCAGAAGGCAATAGGATTGAGGCCCTAACACTTATTCTATTTTTAGAAGTGTCTCTGCTCTTCCATTCATGTCCAAAAGCAAACTAATAGAAACAGCTATTCTTCCATCACACAGAATTCATATTTTTA